CGTTCGTGGCCATCTTCGAGGGCGCAGGCGACGACGAAAACGGCGCCCCCCTGACCGAGGAGCAGAAGCAGGAGAGGGTTTTGAAAGCCATGTGGGAGGCTGCCACTGGCGCCTTCGGTGGATCTCCTGTAAGGCCACGATCCTCGTGAGGGGTGTGCCGACATGGCCGGAGGCCGCCATTCAAACCCTGCCACTGGCGCCTTCGGTGGAACCCCTCACGGGGCCACGATGCTCGTGAGGCGTGTGCCGAAATGGCCCGAGGCCGCCACGCGAACCTTGCCACTGGCGCCTTCGGTGGAGCTCATTTGGGGCCACGATCCTCGTGAGGGGTGTGCCGAAATGGCCTGAGGCCGCCATGCGAACCCTGTCACTGGCGCCTTCGGTGGAGTTCCCTATGGGGCCGCGATCCTTGTGAGGGGGTGTGCCGGAAATGGCCCGAAACCGCCATGCGAACCCTGCTTCTGGCGCCCTCGGCGGAGCTCCCATGGGGCCACGATCCTCGTGAGGCGTGTGCCGAAATGGTCCGAGGCCGCCATGCGAACCGTGCCATTGGTGCCTTCGGTGGAGCTCCCATGTGGCCACGATCCTCATAAGGGGTGTGCCGAAATGGCCCGGGGCCGCCGCGCAAACCCCGTCACTGGCGCCGTCGGTGGAGTTCCCTATGGGGCCGCGATCCTCGTGAGGGGGTGTGCCGGAAATGGCCCGAGGCCGCCATGCGAACCCTGCCACTGGCGCCCTCGAGCTCCCTATGTGACCACGAAACGTTGTACTGGGTGGGTGAAACGCATGGAGGGAGGAGGGGGGAGGGGGACGAGGGCGGGAAGGAAGGAACGCGGGGACCGTGTCTTCAAAACGAGGACCCAACACCACAGGATGGTTCGGAAAAATCACGACGCTGGGGGTCTGGATCCGCCGCCCTGCCCACCCCCCTCATTCCTCACTCGCCCACCCTACCCATCATCATCCGCACCCTTGCTCCACCTGATCTTCCGCATTGCCAAGCTGCTCTTCAAGATTCCGTTTTTCGTCCTACCTCCCCATCCTCGTTCCTCTTCGGCCTCATCCCTCCCTTCTTTATCATTGCTCCTCATCTTTCGTCCTGCATCCCCCCCTCCTTCCAGCTGCCCCCACCTCCCCGCCACTTCCCCCCACCCCTTATCCCATCTTTTGGGCCGGTGAAGGGCGCGGGGGCGCAGGGGGGAGTGGAAAACAGCGGCGAGGAATCTCTGCTATACGCACACGCACGCATGCCGTTTTCCTTAGCAGCGTTTGGCGATGGGGGTTCTGATCGTTGTAGAAAAAGCCACAGAAGCGCCCCCCACAGGGGGGACGGAGAGACTGAGGACGCCCTGTCTGGTAGCCGTTTTGCCTGAGACTTCCTCGCACTTTATTCAGGAATCGCGCTCTCGCCTGAATGCGGGCTACATATTTGAAATGGACGGCCACGATCCATAGGGACGTGCTCTCACCCCATGTCCCGGCTGCTTCTGGGACCCCCGGCCGACCTCTTACTCCCCGACCCGCTTCTGCACCTTTGCTCGACTACACGCAAGAGTGACACTTCGCAGGAGTGATCTTTGGTGCGGGCTCATCGGGGCCCACCCGATCGCTCAGCGCGATGCCACAGGTGCTGCTTGCGTGCTTGGATTTGGCCACCTTGCGCCCCCTCAGTCCGCGCACCAACGGTCACCTTTGCCTAGGGTCACTCTTGCGTGAAGCCGACTACTTCCCGACCCGCCTCTGCACCAGTGCTGTTACTACACCGGGGTGCTTTGACTTGATGGGCCTCTGGGAGCAGACGCCGCGCTCGGAGGCATCCAGCCTGCAGGGCGTCCCGGGCTCCTCGGGAGGCGGCCCTCCGCGACAACGGTGGCCACTTGGGAGGCTCGCGCGCGGGCCCCTCCGCAGAGCGCCTCGAGGCCGGCGAGGACGCCCTGGGGATGGCTTCGCAGCGACGCGCGTTTTTTTTGTCTGCTCGTGCACCGCCCACGCCGACTAGACGTAAGAGTGAACTTTCGCCGGATTGGAGCCCCCGAGGCGCTGAAGGCGAAGCGGTAGCAGCGGCGTTTCGCGCCCAGGATTGGCACACACGCGTCCCCCGCTAAGCCGCGCACCAAAGCTCACTCGTAACCCAGGATCACCTCTTGCGCGTCGCCGAGGAAGCTGGAGGAGCAGCAGCAGCAGCAGTGAGCAGCAGGAGAAGGACGGGGGGGGGGGGGGAAAGCGGGGAGGGGCAGCAGCAGGAGGGAGGAGGAGAAGGAGGAGGAGGACGAGGAGGAGGAGGAGGGCCAGGAGGAGGAGGAGGAGGAGGAGGAGGAGGAGCACGAGCCGGCGCAGAGGCAGGGGACGCGGGGACTCCCACCTTGGGGGTCATTCTCGCGCGTGGCCGACCACGGCGCAGAGCCTCGAGGTCGCCGCGCCGCGGAGCAGGCGCCGCTTTTGGGCGGGCCAGGCGCGGCAGCTCGCTCCAGAGCGGCCCACGGCCCCCTCTCCAGCTGTCGGGGACGGGTGTTGCTCGCCAGGCTGCAGGTCGTCGTTCTCGTCGTGTTCAGGTCGTCTTTGTTTGCGCTGTCGCGCCAGGCTGCTTCCTCCTTCTCCTCCTCCTCCCTCCCCTCCTCCTCCTCCTCCTCCTCCTCCTCCTCCTCCTCCTCCTCCTCCCTCCCTCCCTCCCTCCCTCCTCCCTCCCTCCCCCCTCCCTCCCTCCCTCCCTCCCTCCTCTCTCCTCCCTCCTCCCTCCTCCCTCCTCCCTCCTCCCTTCTCCTCCCTACTCCCTCCTAGGCGGCAGGCGCCGTGGCATGCCTAGCGTGTCCGATACCGTACCTGCCCCCAGGCCTCCGTCTGCCCAGACGGGAGATCGACCACTTTCTGTTCCCCCGCCCCGATCTCGATCCTTTGGCTGGCATCGCCGCGCCCGCAGACAGCGAGCCCGTGACAGGTCGTTCTTGAGAGGTCAGCTGGCGAGACAGAGACTTGATAAGCATCACGGCTCCCATGCGAGGCTCGGGCGCGGGGGGAGATGGCCGCGCCGCCAGCACGCAGACGAGGAGGAGCCCGCCCCAGAAGGAGCCGCGATGGGCCTGCATCGCGACGCGACAGTGCGGCTTCCAGGGCAACTACTCCAGCAATGAGAATTGTTACCAGTGTGGCCGCTCTCGTCGGGGGGGTCCTGATCCCAATTCTGTTCCTCCACGGCAGCGGCCATCATCGAGCTCTCGGCCCAGGCGAACGTCTCGCCCACGTTCGGGAGTGGATCATGCAAAAGCAGACAAGGACGGTGGTGCAGCGGACAAGCCCGCCGATGCCGTCGCTCAAGCACGTCGAGCGCTCCAGGCTTTGCGGAAGCTTGGGCTGCCTGACGACAGCGCAGTCATTCAGCAAGCTCGACGAGATCTGCAGGTGGCCGAGGAGAAAGAACAGCAGACGCGGACGCCTGATGACATGCTACGTCGCTCGCTTGACCGACATACGGCGAAATCTAAGGAGGTGGAGGAACTACGTAAGTCCGCCGATGCCTTGGAGGAGGAGCTCCAGGTCAAGAAGACGGCCCTCGCCACCGCCTCCGCAGAGTTGCAGAATATTCAGGCGGAGGTTAACTTGGCACGTACGGTAGTCCTGGCATCTACGGCATCCTCATCGGCGCCGTCGGCAGACGCTCCGTCGCTGCAGGACGCGATCGGGAGGCCCCAGACTGTGGTCGCGGGCGCGCCCGCGGCGATCCTGGCAGGCAACCCGCAGGCCATGTTGGACTCTCTGGCGCAACAGCTCAGTCAGCTACAGCATCTCGTGCAGCAGCCGCATGCGGGCGCCTCTCAGACACCTACGGCAGCAGCCGCGGCTGATGGAGCGGCCGTCGCCTCGGCTCCAGGTACCCCAGCATTTCACCCTTGGCAGCAGCACTTCGACGAGCAGGAGGCTCGCGACGCTGACATGGCGGACGCGTACGGATAGCTGGAGAGCGCATATACTCATCATCGTGCCGCGACTGTTCCAAGGAGGTATGTGGTCTCTGGATGACTGGCCTTAAAGTGAATTGGTTGCTTCAAATTCCCGGCGTGTCTCAGGCTCTATCGGACACGCTTCACAGACTCAGAGGGACGGATCAGCACGATTGCACGTCGCTGATTGCTCTGGTGCGAGGCGCGCCCCAAGACGGGCCAAGAGGAAGCTGTTTACTTGCATCACATTCAACGCCAATGGCTGGCACAGGCTGCGAGATTTCTTGCAAGATGGCGCAGCTGGGGCTCTGGTTGCTGCGTCACAGGAGGTCCGTATTTCTAGCTGACCAGCGACGCCAGGCTGAAGAATGGTGCCATCGCAATGGGTGGAAAGCTGTCATTACTGACTGCTTGACGGGGCCCTCTGGTAAGCCGATGGCGGGAGTGGGCCTTTTCGTCAAACAACACATCGGGGCCACATATCTGGACTCTCTTCCTGGAGTGTACGACCATGTGCTCGTTAAGTCGTGGTGCGTGGCAGTGCACATCCATGCAGGTCCGCGTGGTGGTTTCATTGATGGCAGTCTCTATCTCGAGGAAGGTCCTGGGCTCGCTTACAATAATACTCCTCGTTTAGAGGCGCTGGGTCACATGCTCAGGTTTCACAGGGATCCGCACATGATTGCTGACTGGAACGCGAGCCCGCACATTTTGAGCGACAGCGCGTTTGTGCAGAGGGCCGACGGCCACTTGGCTGTCGCACCCGAAGGCTCTCATCGAGTCGCTGCCTCGGGCAAGTACACGTTCCTAGATTACTGGCTCGCGTCTGACTCCATGACCGCCGAGATGGACAAAGCTCGTCGAGTCGAGGATTGTCCAGCTCGACCACATTTTCCAATCAGCGTTGAAGTTGGTCCTCGGCCTAGAGCCAGGCACGTACTCCAGCTACAGGCACCTCGGGTCTATCCTGGTAAGCCCAGCCGTGCGCCACGCCTGGCTGAGGATTCTGATGACGAGGACAATGATGCCGTTCCCCTGGGGGGTCCTGGTTTTGATTGGGTCGAGGGGATGCGCCACAACTCCAAGCTGGGTCGAGGCGCTCTTGATGAGCGAGAAGGCGGCCTCAACTTCTTATGCCAACAGCTCTATGATGGCGCGGAGAAGGAGCTCGCGCCGTTGTTCGATTGCGATGACTTGGGCAAGTACCAGGGCAGAGGACAGAAGGCCGTCTACCGTCGCAGCACAGTTGGCGGCGCGTTGGCTCAGAGGCAACCTGCTGGCACCACGCACTCGAGGGCGGTAAGAGCTGTGCAGCACCGACTCGAGGATCTAGCTCGCATCCTGCGCAAGCACGGTACATTCCCGCCGCAGAGGCACTACATGATATGGAGGCCGCTTTGGGATGTTGCTGAACGGCGAGGTCGACTGCGCAGGTTGGCCAAGTCTCTGGAGCCCGAGCTCATCCACGAGGTCACCTACTACCTGCTGTGCATTTTCGCCCAGCCCTACAACTGCCACGTCGTCATGCTGCGCGCGGTGGCGGCGTCTCTGTCTGCGCTGGCTGCCCGTGAGGAACGGCGACTAGGACAGGCTCGCGGGGCGGGGTTTGTCAAATGGCTTAAGGACTGCCTCGGCAGTCGCTCTAAGCCTGTTCACTGTTGGACGAAACCTCGAGGGTGGCAGCTGTCTCAGGTTCATACGTCACTGGGACCGTCCAGCCACGTGGGCGAAGTTGATAACTTTCAGAGAGATTTGTGGGAAAGCATCTGGGATGGTGGGCATTCGCCTTCGTCCGTTGACGCGTTTCTCCTTGAGATGGACAGGATTCGTGATTTGGGCCCTCGTTTGCCTCCGATGGGGATTCATGAGCTCCGAAGGTGCGCTAAGCCATTTCCTGCTAGGACTGTCTTAGGAGCTGATGTCTGGAGGCCCAAGCACTGGGCGCTGGTGTCGAACGGAGCTCTATCTTTCCTGGGATACTTGCTGCACTTATGTGAGTCCTGGGGTGGATGGCCTGAATAACTACGGCATGTACATAGCGTGTTGCTTCAGAAACCGACTGGAGGCGATCGTCCCATCGCCCTCTTGGTTTCGGCTTACCGAGTTCGGGCCAAGGTTCGCATAGTGCACGTTCGTGAATGGGCCAGTCGGCTGCATAGGCTTTTCTTGGCTCTCGGCGCTGGCCGCTCCACGACAGATGCGGCTGTCAGAGTGTTGTTGCACGGCGAGGCACACCCGCCGACAAAGATGCCTTCTCGCAATGACGTGGCCTGCTTGCACGCCATCGTCGACATCGAGAAATGCCTCGATCGTGTCGTTTGGACCTTGATATTGTATGCCGCGCACAAGCACGATTTCCCAGGGGCATTGGTGTGTTTGGCTCTACGCATGTACACGTATGAGCGCAGGCTAGCGTGGTCGGGGGCCTTTTCGGAGCCTGTGCGGGCCCCTCGTGGAGTGCTTCCAGGATGCAGTATGGCAATGTATATCCTACAGCTCATTATGTTGGCTCCACTCGACTCGTTGTACGCCAGCACGGTGCAAGTCGATCGCGCGCTGCATGCGGACGACCTCACGGTGCAGGTGCTGGCCAAATATGGCCACATCGTGCAGCACGCGCGCCTTGTCTTGCAGGGCGTTGTGGGCATGCTAGCCTCCATGGACCTTGCCCCCGCCAAGCGTAAGATGACGGTCACCTGTGCGTGCCCCGCTGTCGCCAAGAGCGTATGCCTGGTGGTGGGAGATCTGGGTTATCGGGCCCCCGAGGCCCTTGAAGTCTTGGGGATTGAAGTTACCTCGGGGCGTGCTCTTCGATTTCGGCGCCTGAAGGCTCGGGCTACTAAGATGTCGGCTCGTCATTCTCGGCTCCTGTGTGTTCGGAAGGCGGGACCGCTAACAGGCAAGTTCGTGAAATCGGCCGTGCCTGCTGCTCTCAACTATGGCGTGGGAGTCCACGGAGCTCCACCTGCCGTGGTCCCCTCGATGTGTAAGTCGATGCGGAGTGCGTGGTACGAACCTGGCAAAGCGGGGTCGACGTGGATTTCTTCGTTTCTTCATGGGGGGGGTCCTCAAGACCCCAGATCTCAGCATGGGCGGATCCTGTTTATCAATGGTGTCTTATGTGCTGGGACGAATCGATCCATGACCTCCTGCAGGCAGCCTGGCGACGTCAGGCGCTTATTGCATGCTCCTCCAAGAAGCCAATGGGGGGTTGCTGCGGGACCTGCTGGGGCCACTATAATAGCCTTTCGTGATCTTCGATGGGCATCGTCGTCGGCGCTTGCGGTCAGGACAGACGTGGGTGACATTCACGATCTTCGGTATGCCCCCCCCTCTCGCTGTTCGGGACCTCGCCAGGGCCCCTGCGGTAAGACGTATTTGGGGGGACTGGGCGGCTCGACCTGATCGGGATCCGAATCAGTCGTTGGCTTTGAAGACCCCCGAGGGTTACTGGCTGGAACCTATCATTTCTCTTTTGGGCAAGGCCCGAGAGGAAGAATATCCAGATAGACCTCTTAACGTATCTTATCAGGCTGCGGGCACTCCAAGGGCCATGGTGACGGGAGGTTTGTGGACACCTGCTCGGCGATTTCACACCAGCTACACCGACACCCCGAGCTGCCCTTTGCGCCCCGAACGCACAGCTAACTTATTTCATATACCATGGACATGCGAGGCCACGGGAGAAGTCCGCAATGCACTGTATGATGATCATGATATCGCCGTGCTTCCTCCTCCTGATCCTACTGCCTGGTGTTGGACGCGGGGCTTGATCTCGCGATCGGCGTTTCCCTCGTTGCCCCCTCGAGATGATTCCTGCACATGGCACACGCTATATGGAGAGTGTCAATATATTACTGGGGTGGTCTTCTCGGATGGCGCATGTCATAAGTACTCGTATTGGCCTGAAGCGACCAGAGCTGGATGGGGGTTTGCCCAGATCGACTCTAGCACCGCGGTGCTTTGTGTCTTCGGGGCCTTTCCTGGGCCCGTTCAAATCTCGCCAAGGGCCGAGCTGTACGCCGTGGCCCAGATCTTGCGGGTAGCCTTGTTGCCCCTCATTATCTATACCGATTACCTCGACTTGCCGACAGGCCTTGAGCGCGGGCCTTCTTGAGGCACTTCACCGAGGCGCCCGAATTCTGACCTCTGGCGTGATATTCGGCGCAGAATCTAGGATTTAGGCGGTTTAGGAGATATGCTTCAGATGTTGTACACCCCTGGCCACCAGAAAGGCTTGCCTTTCGAGGCGCGGGGAAACCGATGGGCTGACTTCTCGGCCTGCCAGGGCCGTGATCTTCACGCTGTGCGAAATCAGGATGCTGTTTTGATGAAACGTCGTTTCAGGACGGTGCGCAAGACCGTGGCCTGGATGGCCAGGGCCCACATTAAATATATGTCTGACACCGTCCCTCCTGGCCTGGATAGGTTCGAACAGCGTAGGAAGGCCCGGGCTGCCGCCGCTGATCGCCGTGCCGCTGCCGCGGTGGCTACAGGTTTCCGTCACATGTTCTTTCGGCACGGGCCCTCTTGGCGGTGCGCGACGTGCGCGAAGCTCGTTCGGTCCGCGAAGCGGCGCAAGATATTCGCGACTCGCCGATGTCTTGCGAAGATAGTTGCGGCCACTGTCACTCTTGCTGAAGCCAGGGATGCTGCCACGTGGGAGCCTTTAGTGAGTCAACAGGAGGCCCCTATTTCTCTTAGAGCCTCGTCGGGAGCTGAATTCGAGGATATGATCCAGCAGGGAGCTGATTATAACCACGAAGTGCAGGATGGCCTTACTGAGCCACCGCAGGAAACCGAGACGGGGGGTTGGGATCCGTCGTCTTCGCCGTCGTTGTCGGGGATCGGGGGTGGAGGACTCATTCAGCGGAGAGTGCGATCGGCCTCGCCTCACCACAGGCGCATCCGCGCCCGTGGATTTGCGAGCGGGATGGTTCCTTCCGTTCCTTTCTTCCCTCCCCGTGCTACTGCCTCGAGCTCTTCTGCTGCTCGTGTGCGCTCTCCCTCTTTGCCTCCCAGGATGGTGCGGGCGCGGATCTCAGGCCTTCCCCCCCCCCCCCGACAATGGGCGAGGGGTCTCGTTTCGGCTTGTGAGAGATGAGCCTCTCCACGAAGCCGCTCAGCGCGTGCAGTCCCGCCCCGCTCCTCTCCGTGATCCCTCGGCCGAGCCGCCCCCAAAGTCGCGGCGTCTCCTTGGGCCTCGAGGCGGATCGTGCGCGCCGAGCTCTCGACCCTCTCTTCCGCTGCCTGAGAGCGGCGACGTTCCGACCAGGAGCGCCCGAAGGCACGAGCTTTTCATGTCGCCTGGTAAAGTGGTTATTTGTTTGTCGTGCGGGGCCATCAGCATTGGCAAAGCGTCTGCTCTGTTACATGTGTGTCCCCCGCCTCCATATAGCAAACGGGGGCTCTCTCATATTTGTCGTTTTAATAATAATCGACACCCAGCCGACCTTCGGAGACAGGAGGTTATCTCTGGGCAAAGGAGGCTCCAGGTGTCGGATCCCGAGGCGCACTGGCTGCAATTGGGTTAATTTTCTCATTTTTTTCTTTCAGAGTCTGGGCTCTAATAGTTTGTGCGTGCGCGCCCTCCCCGCCGTGATCCTTTGGTGGGCATCTTGGGTGGGCTGGTCTTGCCCCACTTTTCGTGGCTGTTGGCGCTCTGCGCGACAGACCTCTTCAGGCTGCGTACTCCCTACTCCCTCCTTCTTCCTCCCTGAGGTTCGAGTTCGAGGGCCTTTCCGTCGGTTCTCGGCTGTTTTTCAGCCTCGGGGTGCGCTCCAGCAGCTGCGCCTCGCCAAGGGCGTTCCAGGGGCGCCTGGATCGTCCCGAACGGCTACCAGAGAGACCAGCTATGACGGAAAAATCAGCAGGCGTGGGACCGAGGTACAAGATCGAGGTCGGCTCGGGGAGGGTGCCCTGATGTTCTTCGTGTTTGTTGGATGCTCGTGTGCATCCTGGGGGGAGGCACCCTCGAATGTTCTTCAGTTTGGGCCGGCGGAGGGTCTTATGTTCTTGAAGGATGTTCTTCTGTCCTAGGTCCGATTGTACCCCTCCTCGTATTCCCAGCATGTGGTCGTCCCTCTGTGTGTTCCTCATTGCTAGAGTGCCGGACCTCGTGATCGCTCTCCTCAGGCATCCTCGTCCTTCTCATCATCATCTTCCCTGTCATCATCACCGTCCTCGTCATCCCTTCTCCTCTTCGTACTCCTCCTCCTCCTCCTCCTCCACCTCCTCCTCTTCCTCCTCTCCTCCTCCACCTCCTCCTCCTGTGCCAGGTCCAACCGTACTCTGAAGGTCGCTCCTGACCGGGGCCACCCCTGCGCGAAGGCGATATCAGGGCAGATGGTCCGGGCTCGAGCGCGCGCGGAGCACACGCTCGCGCGGTGGCCGTGGCGAGGCAAAGGGCCCGGGGAGCTCTCCCACAGAGAAGCCCTGAGAATCCAGGCCTCCTGGATGGGTGTCCGAGTAGATGTGGTCGGAAGATCTCGTCGCATCGCCCATGCATCGACGATGCGAGTCGATGTGAAATCACAATTTCTCCACGCTGATAGCGCCGATGCATCGGCGACGTCGCCAGTGCATCGCCG